TGTGTGGACGCTTAATGTAACTTGATTTTAAAAAGGCTTGTCATTGGGTCAATTAAAAAACGTCATTTAACTTGGAACTTGGTCACTCCAACCCAAGAAGTTCTTCCTCATGTGAGTGCACTTTTCCTATATGTAGGTTCATGTGGGTGTCAGGGGTTAAGGCAATTAACCCGTTCGGCAGTGCCGCCTCAATCAATTTTTTCTCTTAAATGTCATTGACATGACGATGTAATGCATGCAATGTGCTGCAGCTTTTGAAGAGCTTTTATTTAGTAGTATTTTCTTAGTTTTTTTAGGTTTTTCGCCTTAATTCTTCTGCCGAATGCCGTTAGACAGGCGAAACAGAGAATGCCGGCCATCTCACTCCCTCCTTTACTTTGAGTGGCTGTCAATCTTGTTAGAAATGCGTTTGTTCTTTAAAAATGGGCGAGAAGAGAAGAGACGTAGAAGAATAAGAAGGGCCCCAAAGACTGCGGCCAGAAGACCCAGAAGAAGAAGAAGCTGAAGCAGAAGAAGCGTCTAAAAAGCGGCTGCATTTATTTTTATTCGACATTCGGTCATTTTGGGCTTATGCTTTGTTTTTCGTCATTGTGTTTGTCTTTGGAATCCGTTGAATATGGTATCTGTGCCTAATTAACTGTCGAATTACAGTACAGCCTTGATAGGTCGAACTTTTGAATCGGATAGGTTAACCCTTTGAAAACCAAAATGGCAATAAAAAAGTTTTTTAAAGACTCTTTAAACATTATAATAATTTACTTAGTTCTCAATAACATTTATTGAGGCTCCACTGTGGATCTGGCGATCGATTCCTAACGGTTAATCGCTATTCAATACAATAAAGTTCTGGCAAAAGGCCCGCGAACAATTGCTGGGCCATAAATAATTATGCTAATCGCTCGGCTAAACCAAAGAACCGGCCATCAAAAGCGAACATTCATGTAAAGATCACATAATATCTATAAATACGTACATATATACCGCAGAAATCGGACAGATATATGTGTATATGGATGCGTAGACACGGTCTATGGTTTTTATTGTGTTCTATTTGGGAATTGTACAAAAATAATTGGCACATTTTCAAGATGTTTAGACTTTGGTTTTTCGGCCATTTGGGCTGTTTTGAATAGTGTGTATTGCAGTTGCTTTTGCCAAGGAAAATTCGCCAATTTATTGCAGCCGAAGATGAAGATACATTCGGAGGAGAAATGCATCTGACAGATGCGTTTGTCATTTGTCACGGTGCACGGCAAACTTGAGCTCATTTTGGAGGCGGCAACAAGGTCGGCAGATAGCGAAAATTAAAAGAACCCCAATCTGACACTATTTCATTTGCTATAAAAAAGTACAAGATGCAAGGTGCACTGAACAAAATTATTATATTAATCAATCTCTAATAATTTTAGCAACTTAATAATCATAAATTGATATCTATATAAAAATACCCTGTAAAATCATTAAATTGATCATGTTCTAATTTTAACATCTTAATAATCATAAATCGCGATGAGTATCAGGCAAGAAATAGTAGATATCTATATTATAATTCCCTGTAAAATCATTACATTTGGTCTTCATGCTCGTTTTTTCTTTCTGTGGGGATGCCGACGATGAAGAAAACCGTTGCAGGGGGCAGCGACTGTAGCGGTTTCTTCAAAACAAAAGTATCGCTTTTACATATCTCTAAAAGGTTCTGGGGGATTGGAGAAGTCACACGAAAACAATTCTCATTCGATTCCAAATGAAATCAATCAAAAAACAAAATCCTAATTCACTGCAATATATTGTTGTTGTTGTTACTTCGCACGTTTCGCACTCGCACACACACACTAGAACACTGGAAAAAAAGACAATTAGCTAATTTGCGTTGCGGTTATGCAAACAACAAATTGTTCATACATCTCTATATGTGTGAAACTGTACAAACTGGCGCAAAATTTACCGAAAATAATAAATAAAACTGTAATTATCGTGAATAATATTATTGTTATTTGTCGACGGCAGCAGCGGCGACATTAACACAAGCGCGCGACGTCGGCGTCGGCGACTAAATTTAGAACGGCGATGAAGAAGCGACGTCGACGAGGCGACGTCAACAACGCGCGGCAGCAGACTGAGCTCCTCCTCTGCCGGTGGAGCGCTGCCAGAACCAGAGGGCAGCGGCAGTTGCAGAAGCAGAGGCAGCGCACAGTGGAGCAGGTGGAGCTAAATGCGGAGAGCTCAAATCCACATAGCTCAGATCGCCCCACAAGAAAAAATTGTTTTATAATTGAAACATTATTAAATTCTATTATCGCAATATAAATATTTATGAAGGTTCTTATTTATAGAGATTCTTGCCCTTAATTAGGATACAATTTAGCTTCTTGTTAAATTGATAGTTTCTATTTTCCATTATTAAAAAAAGTTCTGTTCAAATTAGGCCAAACCACATGTATTACTTATTTTAATATCTTTATTTAGAATTTGTCCAAGGACAATAATATTATAATATTATTATAATAATACAAAGGCACCACATATTTTATTAAAACGTTTATAGAAATCCTCTTGTTTTGCACCAAAATCATCATTCTGACCCACTGTGCCTATAAAGAGAGCGAGAGAGAGAGCGCATAGCTTGTTGCGCCGGCGCAGGAGGATGCTGCACCTGTTCTCATCGCATTCTCAATCGCCCCCTCTCGCTCGCACACGTTGGCGGTCCGGTCCTCCGGTCGCTCCTGCTGCGCTGTTATTGTTTTTGCATTTGTTATTGTTATTGTTACTTTGCTATTTTCGTTGACAACGCGTAGGCCAAACATTTGAATGGCAAGCTGCGCCGACTTACGGTACACCAATACAAATACCACGGACTGCGCAGCCGTCCCGTCTGCGCAGCATGCAAAGCGGTACTGCTGATTGGCCCGCCAATGTACCGTTGCACAGTGGGCCTCGATGATTAATTAATTGTGCGGTTAATGGCTAAGTGGCAAACATTTTTGAGACTGCATAAATTATGGAAATTATACATTTTTCATTTTTTTTTTTGGGTTCTTTAATTGTCACCAGAAATTTCACTTTTCAATTATCCAAAAGTAAAAAACTTTTGATTTCAGGAAAATAAAAATTTAACAAGTTGCAAAAAAAATAGTAATTTAACAAAATATTTTCATTTTTTCCTTTTAGTTGATTAAAAAATCCCCAAATAGTTTCCATTTTTTTCCTTTCGCGCATTTTTATTAAAGAATTTAATTCCTTTGTTTGGTTTTTTGGTTCCTTGATTTCAAGGCATTCTTTATCCAATAAATCCGTTTATATTTCCGCACTCCTTGGTCCCACTGTGCACCATCGGCGACGTCTGCGGAGTGATACAATAAATTTAAGCAGCTAAATGCACGTGCTGAGTGAGGCGACGCCGTTGACAAGTACCGGTATTATGGATCTTCGGATCGTCGGGTTCCGTTCCCGGTTGCATAACCATAACGATAGGCATGCGCTTGAGATTTATGCAGTTTGTAGGGGGGTTTGGGGATTATAATCGGAATCGGTGGAAGCCGAAGCCGATGCCGCTCACATGAACGCTGCACTTGCCGCTTGACCGACATTCGAGTACGCGAAAACCCGTAGTTCGGGTTTCTTCTCTATTTGCGGATATTTTTTGTTTGTTTATTTTTTGTATTTTTTTTGGTGTCTGAAATTTAAATTAACCCGTGTTGTGACATTTATGAAACTTACTTGTCATTGTTGTTGTTGTTGCTGTTGGTCTGGGAGTTTTGCGAGTTGCAGAAAAATATACTTAAGTAGTCGGATTACCGTTGCAGCGGTGCTTACCTGCGGGTGAGAGAAATATAGAACATAGTTTGTACATAAATTAGTCGGAGGTTAAGTTGGGCGGAGGTTAATGAGCGACTGAAGTTTAATGGGGCAACCACCAGCACCGATTCATAATTAATTGAGTAGCAGAATTGCATTTAGCCTAACATAACACCACAAAAGCAGAAAAGGCTAGGTTTTTTATTTGAAAATGTAAAGCTCTTCAACTTGTTTATCGAGTACCAGCACCGGAAATGAGTCGAGCTGCAAACCATAGTCGGGTTTCACACCTGCGCGGATCAGATTCAAGTTCAAATATTAATTGACTTAAGATAAAGGTGCTTGTATTTAAATGTTTGTATTAAACAGAAAAATAAATTAAATATTCTAGAAAATATAGAAAAATCTTTGTTGCCTAAAAGTTAAGTTAAGTTCCCTACAAATAAGCAAGAAAATAATGTATGATAAAGTTTACATGGGTTAGGGCCGTTTTCTCGTTTGCATGTTAAATTGAAAGGAAGCTTTAAACTCTGATTTTTTTTACGATTTCAAGGTTTAAAACCTTACTTTACATATAACAAGTGGACGAGAAAAAGGTCCTAAAGGGATTTAAAAAACTGTATAAAACGTTATGACATTCGCTTCAATTAATTTTAGTAAGATTTATCTTTAAAGAGTATTTTCAATGACTTGTGGTAAATTTCTTAGAATTTCCTTTGTTTTATGAGTAGTGGAACTAATCTTTCCACAAGGGTACTTGAGCCTCTGTTTTATGACGGATTCATTTGCTTTATTTGCTTAATACTTGTTAGCTTCTACTGTCTATATAATTTGTATTTACGAACAACTTGCACTTGGCTGCTAAATGCCGTCGCACAAACGGGTTTAACAATCGCAATCAATTCACACCGAAAAAAGTGGGGTTTATGGGCTTTGTGGGGGTGGTAGAGCGAAGGGCGGTCGGGGTCACGTAATAAATTTAATTTCGATGGCAGTTCACCACTCGATTGTCTTGCTAAACAAATGAGAGTGTAAACGCTCCAATGTGTTGATGTCACCGATTCTAATATGAGATCTGGGGATCTGTTTAGTTCGGTATTTTCTGTTTTCGGTTGGATGGGATGCGAATGCGTATGCAATGGAACCGGATGCAGATGGAGAACTGGGTTCCTGAGTTCTGGGTTCTGGGAGTTCGGTCCTCTTACCTGTGCATTACCCATTAGAGCATCGACTTCGGTTGCGTTTTCGGTTTCTAGATGGATCGATATTGGTATCGGTATAACCTCATCCACATTCGCATAGATCGGCTGATCCTCGCTGAGGCTCTGTCTGAGCCCCTTTTTCTTGCCCTCGTTCCTCTTCTTTTTGCTGTCCGGGCTCTCTTCCTCCTGTTTCTGCTGCTTCTTCAGGTGGGCATTGAGATTAATGGCCGACTTGGATTTGGCCTTGGCATAACGGGCCGAGCTACGCAAACTCTTCAAAACGCCATAGGATCGCGCATTGGCGAGCTTTTCTCCACAGCGAGATAAAGATATATATAGAGAAAGATAAAGAGAGAGAGAGAGAGAGAGGGGCGGGGCAGGGGTTTTTGCAGAGCGGAAAATAGTTAAGTTAGGTTTACTCGCTAAATAATCGTATAAATAGCAACAAATATATTTACAATAATGGACAACAGCTTAGGTACAGTCTATGGTCAAATCTATTGGCACTACTTTTAAACTCCAAAATTAAAATTAAATTTAAAAATATTATTTTAGTTCTAGTTTTTTCCTTACTCGTTTCTTATTAACAAACAGTCATGAAAATACCAAGGCATTTTTATCTATTTCCACAAAAAAATGAGCAACTAAACTTGTGAATAATTAATGACAGAAGTCGAAAAGGCTTTTACCTTTTAACGAATGCTATTTGATTTTTACATTTTAATTAATGCTCATCAGCAGTGCCATTATTTTTGAGCGCAACTGTTTGCCGCAATTACACATACGTACATACTAAATATATATTGATGGCCCAAGTACCAGGTGAAATGGTGCGGGGGGAGGTGAAAGGGGGGAATTCAGTTTTTTTGGGAGCGGGATAGGTTCGCTTTTGGGCCTGACCACTTTCTATTAACTACGTGACGGCATGTCAACGGCCAAAAAAAAAAAACAAGAAAAAAAGCACAAAACTATGGCTTCGCCAACTTCCGGCAGAAAAGGCGGGGAAAAAAAGCGACCGGCGGTTTGGCCAAGACTGAAAAACAAGTGCCAACTGGAGGATGATTCAAGGCGCGCTAATGCATCAGCCAGCAGGGTCTATATATAGACTATAGACTCATGACCGAAGTCAATGCCTGTAGATAAAAACCATTGAACTAAGTAGCAGCAGGTAATGACAGTAAATAAATGTTGCACTGTGCGAAAAGGCAATTTTCTATTCAATTCCATTACCATACAAAAATAAACCTAAGATTCCGAAAATTCAATTAGAAAAATCAAAACATAAATTGTCTCTCGCTATACAACAAAATCGTTATCGTTCGCGTATTAAAACGTAACTCTACCGATAAGATAAAATATGAAAAATGTACGATTTACAGTTGATCAAAAGTTGTCGAAATACTGATTTTTTGGTTGGAAAATTAGGATCTTGATTTTTGCTAAAATTATGATTTTTTTTATCGATTTTTGACTGTAACTTGGACAAAAATGGTCCAAAATCAAAAAGGCGTACTGTTTTGAGCAGCTAACGACCCAATTATTAATATCCGTGCACTTTTTTGAGCGATTTAAAAAAATTATTTTTTGATCAAATTTTAGCAAATTTGATAAGGGGTTACATCATGATTTTTTGCAAAAAATTGATCAAAATTAAAATTTACAGGTTTGAATGCCAATCGATTGGGAATTTAAGTACGAGCTCAACGAGGTATGACATTCTATATTTTGACCATTTTTGGCATTGTTTCGGCCAAAATACTGATATTTAATATATTTAAATATATTAAAAACAAAAACAGTGTATTTTCTCAGTGAAAATACTGCGCACTTGCGGTTGGCATTGCGTTGCAAGTGTTCAATCTTGCAAACAAATCACCGACAATTGCTACACCGGCATTGCGCATACGCCCCGTGGCCGCACACATAGATGAGTATGAGTGCTTGAGAGCACGAAGTGGGCCATACGCTAGTTGAAAAACTGAAAAACACAGAAAAAACAGAAAAACCCGATTCTCGACGATTGCCGAAAGAAAGTTCAGATGTTCGCGTAGAACAAGTCTAACCAGTCAACTGAGTAACTGAGCTGTAGTAAGTAAGCAATCGGCAGTTGGCAATTAAATGCAGTGAACACCCCGAAGAAGGCGGCATAATTAAAGCCACAAATCAGCTGAAACCCTATATATAAAGGCCGCACCGAAAACTGGCCCAAAAGGCGGAACCAAGTTCACCGGGAGGTTGCCACACTAGTTGGATGGGTCTTGCCCAAGCGATCTCATAAAGAACTGGAAATCAAGGTCTTATGTTGCGAAAAATAAAAACAAGAAACGCAATATTGGTGTTAAAAAGGGAGTTCTATATATTTTGGCTCAAAAACTGGTATAGAATCGACTGTTGATAGCGTAAGGAGAGCTATAAATAAGCTAGTGAGGTTTTTTGGTGGGCTGAACTTGAACTGGGTTGGGTTTAATGACTGGGTAAATACAATTACCATAAAAGCGAGGAATGCGAGTGCCAGAGGAAATTTCTGAGTTTGGTAACTGCAATTTATTCATAGGAAATCTTAACGAGGCCATTAAAATGCACACAACGAAAAAGTGGTAGATATGAAGATGGGTAGGGTGGCTAATAAAATGTAATAAGCCCAAATACTGAATAATTAAACAAGCAATATTTAAATTCTGCACTTGAACAAAATTTAAAAAAATATATTATCGTTTTAAAATTTTTGCTGTCTAGAAAATTTAATAGTCCCGTATACTGTATAATTTTAAATATTATTTGTCCTTTTTGCACTTAGAAAAATGTTAAAAAACATAATATCACTTAAAGCTAAAAGAAGCGTTTTTAAAAATGTTTCTGCCCAAACAATACGAACTGCCCTCGCTGCGATGCCTTTGCAATTAGCTGAATTCGCATTTAGTTACACGCTCCGCAGCCCATTCACAATGCACATCAATGAGAGGCTAGGTTGCATCAGGAAGTGTCCGAATCCGAATCCAAATCACAATGAATGCGATTAGACCACCCAAATCCCACACGACTTCCACCTGCCAACTGAGCCACTTGGCCAATGCAATTTCAACTCCAATTGGGCCGACAATCGATGGCATTATCATTATATGTACATAGTAGTCTCAAGTTCATCGAACTTTTCAACTTGTCAACAAGTCAGTGGCCCAAGGAGAACGACCGATCGATCGTATAATTTGTAACAATTATTTTTTATAATCCATTTACCCAATGACAAAGGAAATGGTTCAGCCCAAATTTTGACTTTATCTAGGCATTATAAAAATAAGGACTTCTCATGAATTTTACTCAGTACTTATCAGTCAGTTGCCTTAAAGGATATTGGGTTGATGATGGTAAATCTTAATGACTGACTATTGGGAATTTATTTATGAGAGGGCCAGAAATAAATAAACAACTCAGTCACCAGCACTCGAATATACAAGAAATTTCTTACCTAATTTTATATATTATATCTTAATTCCTAAAATAAAAAAAATAGAAAATTGACAACTAAGACTTCTATGGATTTCGATTTTATTAGTAGGTACACTTAATACCTTTTCAAGATCCAAATAAATTCAATAAAACGCAATTGCTATTGTTATAAAATAGCCTTGTTGCTGCACTACAGCAATTATCCAGCTATTGTTACAGAATTTCATTCAATTCAATGCTGTAAATTACTGATTCCATATATTGAGCGATTTAATGGGCTTACAACCTCACATCTAAACAATGCACAGTACTTTTCAGTGGTAGCTCAATTTTAGATATTTGAAATTAGAATTTGCAGGCATTTCATTGAGAGCGTGATGATATTTTAATTTAGGTTTTAATTTTTGATCGATTTATATAATTCAATCTTTAGTCACATACTTTCTTGAGTCATTGGTATACCCATTTTACAATCTATTGTTTGGTTGGCTGACTAAGTTGGGTTCTCTTATCTCTCTTATCAGAGAGAAATACTTGCAAAATTGCCGTATCGATAATTATTTTGCAACACTTTCAAAGCAAGAATTCTATATTTTTGTAGGTCAGTGCTTTCAGTGACTAAGGATGAATCGTTTGGTTAGTGACAAATGTTTATCGCTAATTTATTTGTATTCTCCAACGCATTTCCATTCAGGTAAATTGTTTATCTATCGCCGTTCGCCATTTGCCATTTGCCGACAACAATTAGAGGCATTCAACAATATTAAGCACTGAATGCGGATGAGTGTGTGAATGGTAATGACAGGGTCGCTTTGAATACTTTGAATACACCGCTTTTTGTGTGGGTGCTGCTGACTCCCACCGAACTGAAGAAAGGTCTTTCTCTAAAAGCTAGTGAAAATATACGAAAAATTCTGGGTCGAATTCGCAAATACCAAGCACTAGAAAAAAAGAAAGTAGATTGTATTGACTATTAAGTATTATTTGGAAATACGCAATATATTTGGTTTATATTTTTCATTGTGCTGCAATCAGCGACCATTCATCAAAGTTTTGACACACAAATGTCGGTTAAGCTAAAATATTTCCCATAAAACTTGTTTCGCCAGCCTTCTTTTATGACAGTTAAATGATATAGTGACCCAAACGGATTTGTAAATTGCTAGCAAAATTTAATAATATTTTATAATAATAAATGATTTGAAAATTCCTCATAGAGGGTATGATAAAAGTCGAATAACTTTGGCTTCGCGATGTCGATGGAGAAAGGGAATTTGAATACTTTCCAACTTTCCAGCCCGCCGAGAAATGAGAAATGAGAACAGTTCTCTTCTGCTCGTTCCCCTTTGTTGGGTTTTGTTTGGTTCGGTACGGTTCGCATCCGAAAGATACACTTGTCGCCGTCTCAGAAATCCGAAAACAGAAATCAGAAATGGTATGCTTGGTGCTCCCAACGAGGCCAGATCTCCTAGGTTAGAGCCAAAGTCTGATCACGTTTTTGTTACCGATTTCCAAGTGTGTTACTTTTCTGTTTTGCCTGTGTTTTTGTGTGTATTTTTTTATACTTTTTGTAGGTGAGTTTTCTTTGGCTTCTTGAATCGGTCACAGTCTGAGTTGAAAATCAATTACCGTTAATGCTGGCCCACATATGTGTGTGTATATTGTATATGGGTTAGCATTGAACGTGACTTGGCTGGAACCAAAAGACGATCTTCGGTACAACAAAAATTCACCTTTTCAAGGTCAGCTTTAGGCTTTTGCTTTTGCTTTAGTTTTGTGGCTTGGTTTTTGTGTGCACTCGTTGAAAACTTATAGAAAAAAGCAGCAGTAAAGTCTATAGAAAATTTAATTAAAAATGCAGAGCGGCAAACAAAAGCGAAAGAGCCGAAAAGAGAGCGAAAAATTATGATTATTTTTAACACAGTTTTTATCATCATCTCTGCCATCCACCATCCACTATCCACCTTTCTGGCCATATTTCTCAAGCGTATTTCTTTCTGTCATATCATCAACTAAGCAGCGCAAACAAACACAAATAAAAAGCAAAAATATGGTAGCAATAATAACAAGTCGGGGGTAATAGCTAATGCCACAACGATCCATTTTAGCGACTTTCACTGTTTAATTGTCGCAAAATTTCCTTTTTTTCGCCCCAACAATTTCTGTGTTTGGTCAGCGGTAACAACCGAAAATATGTATCTTTTTCATACTTGGAAATTTGTTTAGGTCTTACCAACAAGTACATATCTCTCACTTACATAAACCGCGAAGGGATTTTTTATTCGGCCTTTATGGCTTTTATAGCTGCAGTGTAAACATTAAAAGAAATCATCGCTAACCGTATTTTGTTTAATTCTACCTAATTATAATTATTATACTGAGCGGATTGTTGGTAATTGCAAATGGCTTCATTGAAGATGGACTTAGAAATTATCTTTCTGTGATTGGATAACCGGTTGAAAGTCATTTTAGTTTTTTAAACAGAGAATTTAGTTATTTATATCGGTAAAATTTTGCTATACCAAAAATATGTTCTTTTATTTTTCTTTTTTAAGAAAGTTTTATATAAAATCCATAATATATAATCCAATTGATATATGATATATATTGTACAAATTTAGGGGCACAAAAAGCACTCAAATTGCAGGGGCGAAAGTTTTGTTTGGCAACAAATCTAATCATTGCCCGGCCAACCGATTAGCTATTAGCCAGAAAATCAGAAAACCTACCTACAGCACACTTATTCATAATTTGGCAACCAGTTTGTCGGCCCACAGCAGTCCCACGAAAATCAACGAGGGAAGCAAATCGGCAGATCGGCAAATCCTCAATTGAAATCTAATCAGCTGCTGGGGAAAAATGGAAGTGGAAACGGAGGTACGGAGATGGAGATGGAGGGTTTTGCAAAGACAAAGAGCCGATTGTTTGGCAGCAAATTGGGCAGGCATTAAATTGCATATGATCACGGATTTTCCTCCTTTTGGAAAATTCGCTTCTCCTTCCGCGAACCTCATTTGAATGAGAGGTGTACCCCCTTTCTTTTTATTTTACTTTTTTTTTTGTTTTTATTTTTTCTCTTTCTTTTGCGAAACGAGTCTTCGGGGTAATTAAAAGTTCATTGTCGTCGACGACCGCCAACTTGTTGTGGAAATCATTTTGCAATGTCTGCCCAAAAACAGCTTCCATAAAAAGAAAAAAAAACCTCCACACACAACTTCCCCATCGTTTAGGTCGCTTTTTTTTTGTTGTTTCTTACTTTTTTGGATCTTGTGCAGAGGCGAGAGATTTTCCCACATGAAAAACGATGACAAAATGTGCAGGAGGCAGAGTCACATCGTCATCGTCATTCGCCGGTGAGTGAAAGTTGCTGATGACCAACATGGATGTGGATGTGGATGCGGCTGGGTATCCACTGGATATTCCATGGCCAATGCCTTCACGACAATCTGCCGTAATTGAACTTGAAGCCGAGACCAGGAAGCCAGACTTGAGACTTTGGCTGCACCTGCGCATCCACATCCACCTTCCAATCTCAATCTCAGCCAGAAGAAGATAATCGCCAGTCAGTCACGACATTTGCGCAATCGCTTTTGGGACAGGCCAACTGGTTTTCCTTAGTATTTTTATTTTACGCGATTTTTTTTACGATTTTTTCGGGGGCCCAGACGAGGGAGCGCCTTTAAGTGTGGGAGTTGCAGACCTTATCACAAATAAAAATGGATCATAATGCGATAACACATCATGTACAAATACCAACAGGCAGTCAGCGAAAAACAAAGGGTTCTAAAAACAGAAAGTTATACCACTGGAAATTCCCTGTTTTTCTTCAATTTCACCATTCCGATAAAGATAAAAACATTCTCTAAACCTTAAGTTGTCAAATATGAACGTTTGACAAGTTGACAAGTCGTTATACAAGTTTCATTTAATTTATAAAATAAACTTGTATATTTTGTTTAACAATTTCGTTTCGCTCAGTGCAGAGATTTCTGTGTTCTTTTTTCTCAACTTTTGTTTGGCTGTGTAAAAAGAAAGAAAGCTCTGGGCGACCTTCAACTGCAGAAGTTGTGGAAAAAAGGCGCCCGAGGTGTGGAAATAATGTTTGATCTAGATTACACGTAGAAATTGACTTGGGAAATTTCTAGGAAAATGTAGGTGTGTTTTTCTGCCATTGACACAACTTGAGATAAAAAGTGTCAGAGCTGATGAAGAAAAAGTAGTTAAAGTTTTAGTATAACGAGGATTTATTTTTAAATTTTAAATAAATAATTATAATAAATAAATATTTATTTATAAAAAACTATTGAAAATTTAGTAATTTTTCGAGATTTCTTGAATTGCAAATATTTCTTAATTACATTTACCGCAGTATTTCGGCTGCAGATTGCGGGAGCTAGCGATAAATCGTTCGAGATAAACGGGTTGCACAGCAGAGCCAATCAGGCGATCCATAAATTTCGCCCCGCGCTGTCAACGTTGCCGATTGACCCGCTTAACCTGTGTGTGCTTTGCATCGCTTAATTTATTCAAAAACTGTTCGACTTTCGTTCGCCACTAGACATTAAAAATTGCAAATTAAACAGCCATAGATTAGCGCAGAAATTTGATTAGGCTATTTTCTCGATGACCTCGACACCGTTTCGGCGCCAAATGATAATGATAATGATGATATAGCCAAGTTTTCCCTATGCATTTGCAGCTTCGGAAGCTGTCAAAATTCTCATTCCTCAGTCAATTGGCAGGCGACACAAATGCAAAAGCACTGGCAAAAAAATAGTCTGCATTGACCAACAAATTGGAAACTAAATCTTCAATAATTGCATACAATAAAGAATATTAAATCGCATTTATATATATATATTTATCATGTAACTAACAAAGTTTCTCTATCTTTAAAAATCAAAAACTATTTAATGGATTAAAGAAAAACGAGAAAAAATCAATGAAAAGAAGTGGCATTAAAAATATTTCTAAAATTCTAACAACTAATAGTTTAGTTTTTATCAGTGTATCCCAATATCGATGGATCGCACTTGTCGAGCTGCGAAATTTCGAAAATCGGGTCAGGCCGAGAGATGCATGGGGCCAATTGGCCAATCGGTTTACAGATGGCCACACAGGTTAATTAACGATTTGGACCAATTAAGAAGACATCAATCGATGGGTGGAGAAGGGCGAATAGGGCAGGGGGCAGGGAAAAATTGTGCAAATCGGGTTAGTTTGAGTGCAGGATAGAGTAGAGTGCAAGTATCTCGTGGATACGTGCGGTAGTTAGTCGGTAATTAGTGCCAATCTCAAGCCGAACCGAACTGAACTCGATCGCAACTCACCCATGAATTATCGCGGAATTGTGACATTTTTTTTCGGCCAGCCGCGGGGAAAGGAGCGGGGATATATAATAATATAGTATGATACGATGTGATCTATATATTTTATATTTTGTAATATATATATATATTATGTTAAATATATAAGCACTGTTTACTTTCAGTTTCAGCTTTCGGTTGAAATTTTTTATTCGCGAATTTCACAGTTTTTTTTTTTTGCTTAATTTATCTAACCAATTTGTTAGCTAAGCTAAGCACACGTTCACACACACAGCATACAGCGTACAGCATACAAACGAACGCAGCGAGTCAGCTGAGCGTAACGCATGTGTTTTTTTGTACCAGATACTTTTGTATCTTGTATCTGCGCCGTTTGGCTGTTTTTTAATTTTTTCGGCTGCTTTCTGAGGCGTAACTGCCAGCACGATTACGTGCGACAATTGTAACACTCGCCAGCAAAAAGGCAGATGCACTCGCAAGAAACACAGATGCTCTTTGGCCCGGTCATCGGAAGGCCGCCGCAGGTAGAAAAAAAAAACAATAAAAAATACACAGATCGGTTGGAAAATTCGCGGTGGAAAAGCCGCATGCGCGCTCCTCGCTTTTCTGTGAAACGAAACGCCGAACTAAACGAGTCGAGTCTGCGCCGCCAACTGAATCTGGCTTTTAGCTTTTGACTCTGGCTCGCTCCTCAGTCTCATTTTCATTTTTTAGTCCCACAAAGACTCTCCGCGAGCGGTAGCCAATGCAATCGCAATCGCCGCCGCTTTCTAAACGCTCTCAGCTCAACGCTACAGCTCCAACGCTCTCCGCGATGCGACGGGTTTTCCGCGCCACAGTGGGCTGTTTGGCAGGTTTTTATGGTACAAATAACGAAACAAACAAGCGAAATACTTCTTGTCCTCCCATCTTGACATAACTTGAAAAAATGAGAAGAAACGGTTTCAGTTTGTATATTCGCAAGAGAAATACAAGGTGTAACTAAATACAGTACAAATAGCATAAACAAGATTTCCACACCAAAATATCAGTTTTTTGGCCTAAACAATGCAAAAAATGGTCAAAATATGGAATGTTATACCTCGTTGAGCTCGTAATTAAATTCCCAAACGATTGGCATTCAAACCTGGAGATTTTAATTTTGATCAATTTTTCGCAAAAATTTGATCAAAAATTAATTTTTTTAAATCGCTCAAAAAGTGCAGGGATATTAATAATTGGGTTGTTTGCTGCTCAAAACAGTACGCCTTTTTGATTTTGGACCATTTTTGTCCAAGTTACAGCCAAAAATCGATAAGAAAAATCATAATTTTATCAAAAATCAAGATCCTTATTTTCCAACCAAAAAATCAGTATTTCGACCATAAAAACGTAAATAATTGTCCCAATATGGATTGTCATACCTCGTTGAGCTCGTAATAATATTCCCAATCGATTGGCATTCAAACCTGGACATTTTATTTTTGATCAATTTTTCGCAAAAAATCGAGGATGTAACCCCTTATCAAATTTGCAAAAATTTAATCGAAAATTATTTTTTTTAAATCGCCCAAAAAGTGTAGGTATATTAATAATTGGGTCAATAGCTGCTCAAAACAGTACGCCTTTTTGATTTTGGACTATTTTTGTCCAAATTACAGCCAAAAATCGATAAGAAAAATCATAATTTTATCAAAAATGAAGATCTTGATTTTCCAACCAAAAAATCAGTATTTCGACCATAAAAACGTAAATAATGGTCCAAATATGGAATGTCATACCTCGTTGAGCTCGTAATAATATTCCCTATCTATTGGCATTCAAACCTGGACATTTTATTTTTTATCAATTTTTTGCAAAATCATGATGTTACCCCTTATCAAATTTGCAAAAATTTTTCAAAAAATAAATTTTCCAAAAAATGATGGGGATTGTTAGTTTAGGTTGTTAGCTGCTCAGAACAGTCGCTCTTTTTTCTGAGGGCCTTGATTTGGCCAAATTACGACTAAAAAACCAAAAAACGCCTATTTTGGTCTAGCCTTTTTATTTCATATTTTCTACCCTAAAATATCAGTATTTTGGCCGAGACAATGCCAAAAATGGTCAAATTTGCGAAAATATTTAGTCTATTAAGTAAGCTTTACCCCTTTAAAGCATTTTAATTAGTTAATCCAAGCTTCCAAGTCCAATATGAGTCAAGGTTGTGGAATGTCGTAAATACATTTGCATCATTCCGACTTACCTGATGACTTAATGTCGTTTCCGACTATATGTTGATTATAGAATATAGAATTCTAACATTGTATTTAATTTCTTGTCCATGACTCACCTCATTTTATGCCGAAGCCCAAAAGTATACAATTCGTTTTGCAAGTATATATATTTATTTATTTGGCTTGAATGTGTATACAAATTAAGTAATTTCATAACCCGCCCTTAAAAAAAACACCAGTGCGATTGAGTTTGAAATACCAAAAAAAATTTATTTTCCCTTAGGAGAGAGTCAGAAAATTCATATTATAAGCAATTTTGTGGATGATTTCGATTGTTTGTCCAATATTTGGGATTCGCTAGCGTAAAGTTGATTAGTTTTTAGTTTTTTTTGTTTACAATTCTTGAAAGTTGCAGTTGGGGACAAAAAGAACTCATTTTCGAGCTGTGGGGATCTTATTGCGGGTCCGAAAATTACAATTTTGGTTGAGAGAATAACAGGATAGACTATGGTATAAAGGATCGATGCGAATGAGTCTATATAACTATTGTATATCTATTTAATATTCGTGTGTGTTTGTGTATCTGTATCTGTGTAGTGGTCTGTGGGTTTGGGTTTTCTGAATATCTAAGTATACAATATACGAATGCTGCATAGCCAATCCAGTTGCTAAACGTTCTCGACTTTCCCACACAATTGCCTCAAGCGAATACATTTTTTGTCGACTTTTCATCGTTTTTGTCTTCCGATGTAGCTCCAAAAAGTTCATTTTAGATTCTTTTTAAATTGTTATTCCATAATTTGGAGATTTTTGTTTAGTTTTCGGGTTTTCCTTAAGGTTTTGCTAAATGCTATTTCAATTTCTCTTTTCGTTTGTCTTAAGTAAAATTGAATCAAATTCCTCAGTGCTTGCAGTGCATATCGTACTTAGTAATTCATGTTGTCTATGCTTAGTGACTAATCCAAAAAAAGTAAATATATATTATATAGATTAATGGGGATTATCTTGGGTGTTGCGGGGACGTATCTTACAATTCTATATAGTTTATAGTTTAGGACTTGTGAGTGGTTGTAGTTTCGGTATATGTACACTTTACAGTTAAGCAGTTTAGAACTCTTCGATAGAAATACTTTCAGACTTGCGTAAGTTAATAATTAAATATAAATAGTGTATATATCCGGAAGGAGGGGAGAATCCAAAGTCGTTGTCTGTCCAAAGTTTTGGGTTTTCGGGTTTTTACGGTCGAATTAGGGATCAGATCAAATCAGAATCAGGGGAAATTACAGTGTATTTACAGGGTTGTTTGATTGGTGTTCAGTATTCGTGTTTGCATGTAAATAAATAGATTACTTTTACACATATATTCCGCTTTATTACGTTATCAATATATATATTGTATGCTTACTATCGTACAGTTAGGCATTGTTTTAGGTATATCGTTTCTCGCCATCCATATCCGTGTATCTTGACCTTTACAATTTTGGTTTGCCTTACTTGCTAGAATTTCATAAGACTTGCGTTTCATTTTTCCATATTTTGTTCAAAAGTTTCACTTAAACGATTCGAAAAAAATATATATACTATATTGATATATATATATATGCATATATATATACATAGCATCTATGTTGTCTCCATATATACACATCATGCAGTAATTGCCTCCACTTAATGTTAGTGTATCTGTGTGTGGTGTCTTGTGGCTGTGTTTTTCTTGAGTGACTTGTGGGTATTCAAGTTCTACAAAATGCACGAAAATATATCCATAGTTTTGGCTTGGACCCGGTTGTTCTCCGAACAGCTGTGCATCGGTGCATCAAAGCACTTGGCTAGCCATTTTCTTGCATTTTTGCCCTCAGTATTCTGTATTCAGTATTCTGTATTCAGTATTCGGTATTCAGTATTCATCATTCACCATTTCATCATTTAGCATTTAGCCCGTCTAGATCGATAGATAGCGCTCTCCTCGATTGACACTAACTTATTCCCGCTTAAATCGTTCAACTACAATTTCATCTTGAAGCTTCGTGTAAATAGCAAGTTTGCGTAAACTAACCAAAATCGTTTTAGAGTTTTAGTGTTACTTTGAATTTCCTGTCTGAAGGGTCTTGTCTCATAGTTTCTGTTCATAGTTCATAGTGAATGGTTTAGGGGGGATAGCAAACTCTCTTCGGCCTTCTGCTCGGCTCATTTGCTAAAAAATCTCTAGATTGTCATTTGCTAAATATTCCTTACTCAACTCTCTCTACTGCATATGGATTTCCAGCTGCGGCCGCATTTGTGGTAGTGTTGCGATTTTTAATTTCAATTTGATTTAGTACAAAATTATTTAAAAAATAAAAAAAACAAACACCTTTTTCAATTTCCAAAATTCAATTAAAAAAATTTCATTTAAAAATTAATTTAACACAGTTATAATACTTTTTTGAGTAAATTTTAAATATATAATCAATTTTTAAGCAATTCGAAGCAAATAACTTTCAAAAACACTTTTTTAGAAAATGTATAGATATTTTAATAAAATTTCCATATATTATATATAAGAACCAATAAAATGCATAGTAACTTTTAAGTTTCGTAGATTTTGTAACATTTTATATTTTTAAATTTTGATAAATAAATAAAAATAATCAAAAAGCTTATAAAAAAAACCATTTAAAATTTATTAGTTTTTGAAACACTGCCTTTTCTTGACCGCAGCTGAAGAATTCATTAGTTGCCGCAGGCGGTGTAGATTGGTGTTACGATTTTGGATTCCGGTTGCCCAATGGGTGGCACGTCTTATGGGGCGTAAAGGCTGCATGCCCGAGATCCCGCAAAGCCGGAATCGAAAATCGTTCAACACCTCGACACCATCTGCGACAGTCTACGATGTGTGTGTAATTAACTCTTGTGTGATTTTAACCTTTTATAAGTATATATTTTTTCTTTTCGTTTTTTTTTTTGTTTTTGTCGCGTGCAATCCAAAACATGATTACCCGCGCCGGAAGCGCACCTCCGGACGTAGACCGGAAGTGGCTCACAGGGCGGGATGGGCGGTAATGCTGGCGATGGCCCCCCAAAGGGGGTCGTCCAAACGCAAGCCGGTAATCCAATTCCGAAAGCCAGAGCCATGGTTTTCCAGGAACTAAGCCGATTGCGCTTGGACGGGGGGACAGGGCTGCATTCGGCCAAGACTCTCGTAAAGGTGATCGATACTTAATCGCTCTCGGGTGCCTTATCAATCGATAGTGATACTTATCGCTATCGCTATTCGCTATCGTTATAATCGTAAATGTTAGCTAAGCCGCAAAAATGGGAATCTGGGGAATCGCGGTAAACGTAATTGACTCGAGATATAAATATTACGGAATTTGGATTCTAAGCAAAAAACATAGGAATAAAATAAAAATAGCCCTCTACTGTACATAGCATACATATATGGTTTGATTAACGGCTATATAATATTTTGGTATTCCATAGTTTTTACTTTTTTTATTCGATAAAATATGCATGCTTTCTATATTAAGAGTGTGTGTTTCGTATTCATTGTTCCATTGTGTTACGAGGGTTTTTCAGTTAAAGAATACGGAATATAGTATATATAGTATATAGGATAGTTAGGATAGTCTTCGTGTGGCTGCCTGCCCCGCCTAACGTCTAGTTGTTTTTCTTTTTCTTCTTTTTTTTTGGGGCAGGTGACCTCGTTTTTGAGGGAAGTCTTTCGGTTTGAAACGCTGAGGGTTTAGTTGTTTCTCTGGGGTGAAGTGGGTGAAGAGTGGGTGGTATATCTAGTGGGGGTTGTGCATCCTAGTCTGTGCATCGGGACTGTGTGTGTGTGTTTGTGTGGTGTGTGTGTGTGTGTCTGTGGCTGAGCGAGAGAGCCATAGCCGCTTAGGGTCTAGTGCGTCTCTCTTCTAATCGTGCTGCTGCTCTGCCGAAGAAGAGTATTCAAGTTCTCACTTAGCCTAGTTTGAATTCCAAAAGAAGTACAATATATGGTATAATTAAATATATAATTAATTAAATATATAGGCTATATATTTTTGCTTAGTGTGGATCAGTGTGTTTTTTGTTGTTTTTTTTTGTTCTTTCAACTTTTTTGCCTCGCTAATATCAATTTCTATTTGCTCTCGTTCTCTTTCTCGTTTTCGTTCTCTAGTCCAATACATTAATTAATTTAGATATCACAATATAATCATTAATCGTTAATCAATCGGTAAGAGAAACAAATAAATTTCGAATTTCCTTCTTTTAAAAATAGTTTTTAGTTTTTTGTTCGTAATTGAAAATTGAATTAAATTTTGGACAAATGTTGCCTTTCGTCTGCCTAACTTTTCCTTACAATAAATTAAGTTAATCCATACCATTGTCCATTCTTAGTCGCTAAATGTTGTTTTGAGTGTTCTTCTGTGTATGTGTTTTTTTTTGCTTAGCTTAAATTAGATTTCTCTCGTACATGCTAACACAAAAAAAAAGTTGCCAAAAAAAAGCGATTATCATTATTATTATTATTAGTTATCTATGTATGTATGTAGGGTGTCGTGGGGTGAATGCTTCCGCCGAATGCTCCTCTTTTGCTTTTAGACTCGGGTCTGCACCTCCAGATGCAAAAAGCGCTCTTGACCTGTGCAAAATCGGAAACGGAACCCCAATGTGAGTTGTTTTTTGTTTTTTTTCGGAATGTTGATTTGATTTGAGTTCCATTTTTTTTTTGGATTTCGTTTGATTCGATTAGGTAAGTTGAGTTATTTACAAGACATTGTCCATTTTGGTTGTTGGTTGTTGTTTTGTTGGCATAGAAAGGAGAAATATTTATGCAGTGTTAAAAGTACATTCTTGTTTTGGATTACTGTTTTACTGATGTTCTGGTATTGTGATAATCATTTTTTCTTTTCTTTTTTTGGTTTAATTTTGCTTTGTCTGGTTTGTTTTTGTTTGTTGTCTGGATGTCGTGAGTTAGCCCCACGGCGTAAGCTTGTCTAGCGATTGCTCTACTTGGAGGGGGGACCTGCTACTTAGTCGTCGAGCCAGCCATCGACGGGCTGCGTCCCCTGCTTACTTTCCAAATAGGTGGCTATCTCGTTGGCGTTCTTGTTGAAGGCCACCATCATGGGCGTGTTTCCGCCGGAGTCCATGGTGTCCAGATGGGCGCCTGCGGCCACCAGCATCACGCAGATGTCGCGACGGTTCTGCTCGGCGGCAATGTGGAGCGCCGTCTGTCCACTGCAAGAAAAATGGGTGCAAAGGTTGGAAGGGTGATTGTTTAGAAGGTTTTCATGTTTCAATTTTTATTTTTGGGAAATATTATATGGAAAGAAATTTAATTTAAAATATCATTTAGGTTGTTAAATGCTCAAAACAGTCGCTCTTTTTTCTCTTTTGTCTAAATTACGACTAAAAAAACGTATAAAAAAGTTATTTCGTCGAAAATTCATATTTTCCACCCCAAAATATCAGTTTTTTGGCCGAAACAATGCCAAAAATGGTCGAAATATGGAATGTCATACCTCGTTGAGCTCGTAATAATATTCCCAATCTATTGGCATTCAAACCTGGAACTTTTTATTTTTTGTCCTTTTTGTGCAAAAAGTCATGATGTAACCCCTTATCAAATTTGCAAAAATTTGATCAAAAATTAATTTTTTTAAATCGCATAAAAAGTGCAGGGATATTAATAATTGGGTCGTTAGCTGCTCAAAACAGTACGCCTTTTTGATTTTGGACCATTTTTAACCAAGTTACAGCCAAAAATCGATAAGAAAAATCATAATTTTATCAAAAATTAAGATCCTGATTTTCCAACCAAAAAATCAGTATTTCGACCATAAAAACGTAAATAATGGTCAAAATATGGAATGTTATACCTCGTTGAGCTTGTAATTAAATTCCCAAACGATTGGCATTCAAACCTGGACATTTAATTTTTTATCAATTTTTCGGAAAAAATCATGATGTTACCCCTTATCAAATTTGCGAAAATTTAAAAAAAAATAAATTTTTCAGAAAGTGATGGGGATTGTTAGTTTTGGTTGTTAGCTGCTCAAAACAGTCGCTCTTTTTTCTGTGGGCCTTGATTTAGCCAAATTACGACTAAAAAACAAAAAAAAAACCGGCATTCAATCCTAAAACTCCAGCTCTCCTAGGGCTATAGCTCGATTATGGATACCGATTTCAAAAGGGCGTAAAGTTGTGATCCGATATATATCTGCAAATTAAACTTACAGCTCCTTGTCGGCCATGTTGATGAGGCGTCGTGTGGCGCTCGCGATGATATATTTGACAATGTCCCTGTGGTTGTATTTGCAGGCGAAGTGCAACGCCGTCTGTCCGTTTTTGTTCACTGACTGTAGTGAGTATCCTTGTTCATGTAGTGCACGTAACTGGAAGAAAGGGGTAATAACAGGTATTAGAAGGCTGATTTATAAGGGAGGATCTGTATCATTATCTAGTTATCTAGTTATATTCTGGAAGAGTTAAGCTACCATATTGAGATCGCCGCTCTGGGCTGCTAGTAGTATGGCATCGGAAGTTTGCTCCAGTATAGGGCTATTATTCAAATGTTCGTGTGTGTGTTTGTGTATTTGGTTTTGTGTTTGTGTGTGTAAGAGAGAGCGGTCGGTATTTTTTGTGTGTGCATGGAAAAGTAGAGAAAATAAAAAAAGACAATTCAAGCATCAGTTCGGTTTGAGATACATTCAATCGATTCAAATGTCGATGATACGAGAGATACGAAAGATACGAGATAAAGACGGAAAGAAAGAAAGGCATATAGAGACAGAGAGAGATAGACAGACAGAGGTAGCCACAACAGACAGTCTAGTAAGTAAAGTAAAGAAAGAGACAGACAGTTATACGGAATACCTGAATCCATAACCAAAAACATCTTCGTTGAAACTGAATAAACGATCTTTGTTGCTGCATGCAGAAGTAATTCATATCGTACAGAAATCAAAAACGGAAATTATGAAATTATTTATAATCAAATGAAGAAGAAGAGGGAAAGATGCTGAAGATAGAGAGAGAGAGAGCGAGGAAGAGGGAGACAGGGCGAGTGTGTGAATAAGATGGAGGATATACCGTGGACCATGAGAGAAGCGTGTGAAACAGAGAGAGAGAGCTAGCGAATAAATGTGGCCAAACGAGCAAGACAGCTGCGAAAAAGCCAATTGATAAGTCTGGCAGAGCGAAAGAGAGAGAGAGAGAAAGAACGCTCTATGTGAACTAAATTTCGGTTGTCTAGTGCCGTCTCGCTCGGTTCAGCTATTGGTCTCTTTTTTTTTCTTCGCATGGAGTCTGAAGGTCTGAATGACTGAACTGAATGAAATGCTGAACGAATCGGGGGACGCTTTTTTACCTCTTCCACTTCATCACTTTAATGGGCTTGGAGCCAATTTGCAAATCCTCATCTTTGTGTTTTTTTTTGTTTTAGAATGTTTCAATTTTTGTTCGTGTTTTTTTGTGTATGTTTTAAATTCAAAAAGAAATTCACATATTGTTAGTAAGCCATTGAAATAAGTGGTTTACAACTAAATCAAATCAAATACACAACAAGTCCAAACTACCAGGCATTTAACCTACCCGCATATCATATTTCAGTGTCTTTTTTTTGTATTACTTGGTTGGTTGGTTGTTTTTGGTTGTTTTGGTTGGGATGGATGGGATCGTAACGAATACGGTTTGGTCCTTGCTACGTTTACAGGTTAACTGTTGATGTAAGCCGGGATTATATACCAGATAGTACCAGGAGTGATCGTATTTAATGCTCTACTCACATGCGATCGTGGCAAGGACTAAGCTGTATTCGGCTCCTCGCAATTAAGACTTGGACTTTTAGCGGATGTGTGGGTGTGTTAGTGTGTGTTTATGCGCACAGTTGCGGTCGAAATAATAGCACGACTTCATTTACAATTTATACTTTTTACAATTTAATTATTAAATATTTAAAATTTTTTTTTGAGCATTAATTTAGACCGCAACTGGATTTCTCTATGTGTAGATGTTAGTGACTAGTGACATGCAAGACATAAATTAACCATAAACAAAATGCAAGGCAACGAAAATAAAGGTGGGCCGACTGCAACTTGCATTCCGCTCCACTCCACTCCGCTCCCCCTTTTGAATTTGCAAGGGATTTTTGGGACTGGGATATACATATATATATGGGTTGTATAGGATAAATCAGATCTCGACGCGACGCTTGCGGAAGTGGAGGTGGAGGAACATGCGCCTGTCTTGGTACGGCAGCTGCTCGGCCACCTGCTGCTGGTAGAGCTCGAGCCGCTCCTGGAGCGGCAGCTCGTCGGCGGTGCGACTGGACACCGCCGGTGGCCAGCAGCCAGCTAACAGGAGCCTACCGGTGCTGCCGGGTCCGCGACCCTGGGCCTGATCCAGTTGGCGCCGCTCCGTCTGCGCCTGCCGCTGCGAGAAGGCCGCGAAGGAGCGCTCCTGGTCCGGAGTCTGCGGCATGGTGGCCGCCTCGTGGTCCAGGATGTACAGCTCGTCGATGGCGATGTCGCAGATGTAGTGCAGGTGCTCCTGGGCACGATCGATGCGGAAGTAGTGCTCCGCGGTGCAGGCTAGAAGGCAATAGAGTTCAAATAAAATATATATTTTAATTTTAATTTCCCATCCTAAGCATTAGTGAATTTGGAACATTTTAATTTGACTACTTTATAGGGTGCAAGGTAAAGTCTTTAATTTGAATTTTTATTCAAAGGCTCATCAGAAATGATGCTTTTTATTATTTATTGATAGAAAAAGTCGTGGGATTTATGTTAATTTTCTAATGAAAATTTCATAATATATTGCAGAAATTTTGCTAGAAAATTATACCTTTAAAAAATGTTTGTCTTGGGGCAACAGGTGGTATGCGCAATATATACAAAACATATTGCTCATACGCACAGTGGCCATTTTCGTACATATGTTTTAGATTTTTGTTTGGTTCTTTTAGTTTTGATGGAAAAAAGTACTACAATTTTTAAGTATTTTTTAAATATTAAAAGAAATATCCCAGAGCTTAGAACTCAATATATTTGAAGTAAATAAATAATAACTTACAGTCGATAAAGCACCAATCCTGGGAGACCTTCGGATACGAGATGGATTCCTCGAACTTGGTATTGAGCATATTGCGCACATGCTCCAAATCGCACTGAGATTCGATTTCGATTTGGCCCAGTTTGTTGGCCAATTTGCGTAGCATCTCCTTGTCATAGTGGTACTGCTCGTACTGTTGCATGGTGACGCGCAAGATGTTCAGCTGCATTTTCTCCAGGGGATTTACCCTGTAAATTAAGAATTTTGTTAGCGATGAGTCACTTCCTTTATCCACTATAAATACTCACTGGACATCGCCGCGGCCGTGCTTCCTTTTGGACAGCATCAGCGCCTTGTTCAGCAGCTCGATCTCGATCACCGAGGGCTTTACGCGGCAGGCCTCCCCGTCCACCTGCATCGGAATGGTCCGCTTGGTGATGATCCGGGCCTTTCGGCACTGGCAAATGCAGGTGCCGTGCATGCCCGCCTGCAGCATAGGCAGCTGGTAGGTGGTCAAACCCACCACCTCCATCAGGCCGTCGTCAATCGAGGGCTTCGAGGCGCCAAAGGAGTCGTTCCACGGGTGGGTGCCACCGCCATAGCTGCAGGGATAAAGGGAAAAGACTGGGTTTAAGTATTGATGATTGAAAACATTCATTGATATGCAAGCAGCAAAGCGACTGCTTGCACTGCTTGCACGCTATCAACCATTATTTGATCATAACTTGTTAATCAATAGTCCGATTGAGACATTTTTTCTATATGTTGATGGGTATTATTAAGCCAAACAACATCACATTTACTTTTTTACAAAAAGTATGCAAGTAATATTTAAAAAATCCCTTACCTGGGAATGTTGAGGAATAGCACGGCATGGCAGCCGGCGTCGCGGAGTTTTCCGGTAAAGTCCTGGCCATCGCACTCAAGCGTCACCCACTGCGAGAGGTTGCGATATTGGCGCAGGATCAGATCCTTGCCGCCCATCTGGCCGTAGTACATCTTGTTGCGCAGCCGCGAATTGAAGCGCTCCGGATGGGCCTCCCGGGCCTCGTGGAATTCCAGGGCGATGTGCGCGTCCACGCCGAACGAGAAGTAGTTGTTGATGACGTTCAGGGGAACGTTGGCTTTGCTGCGGTCGACATGGTCATCGGTGACGTCATCGTTGGGCGTGACCTTCACCCGCCAGCGGTCCATTAGCACGCACTGCGACATCCCGATCTCGCGCAATATCTTCCCAATCGGTTCGTCCGTGTAGCCCTGAAAGAAGATAGACTTTAAAATTATTGAGGCTTTTAAGTGTAATGATTCTGGGCAATATTAGGTCTAAGTTACGCTAACTACAAATGAAGTTGGGTACAAATAATAAATGCCTTCAAATATTCGTTCTACATTCGTTGAGCAGCTTTCGTTACTAGTGAGTTTTTTGGGATCAAGCGTTTATTATTAATAAAATATATATATGTTAGCAGCAATGTTATTAGTGTAACTACTTTACTTTCTGTATGGAAAAGTCTTCAGTATGACAAAAAAATTGGGCTCATACTTACTGTAGATTTGTATGGATCAGAGATGAATGTTACTATTTTTTTATCATATGAGAAGTCGCGGAATTTTTTTTTGTTTTTTTTGATAGAAAATTCTTTTCTATAATATTTGTTTATATATTACAATATTATTGCGATTATAAAACCCCAAAAGTTTATATTTGGTGGCAACAGGTCGTATGCGCAATTGGCATGTTTCTGAAAAATATTGCTCATACGTACAGTTGCCATTTTTTTTGTATATTTTAAACCAATGGAAGCTATATTTTGAATGGCTCTCATGTTTATAAAAAAATACATATTTATATTTATAATTTAGGGCTAACTAACTTAAGTTTAATTAAATTCATACCACTTTTCTGGTCGTTATTTACGACTTTAAAAAGTGGTACAAATTCGTATATATTTTGCAACATAAAAGTCAACTTACCCCTCCCCATCCGAGGGCGCGAGCGAGATCATTGCCGGTGCCCAAGGGAAGGACACCGACGGCCGGAACTGGTTGGAGCGGCGGTTGGATCTGGTCCAGGACGGAAAGGACCCAGCCGACGGTGCCGTCGCCTCCGCACGCCAGGACCCTCAAATTGGGCGCCTTGCGGAACATATCAAGGCTGCAAAAGATAGAAAAATATATTTAGCAAAGAGGAAATCAAATGATGAGCTTGAAAAAATAAGTGGAAAGTATTGAAGCATTATAATTTATTTTAATATATTTAAATTCAAATTTTATAAAAAGGTAAAGTTTAAAAAATATTTTTATGAGAAAAACTTTTATTTTTTTTATTGAAAAAATTTAAATTTAAATTTTATAAAAAGGCAAAGTTTAAAATATATTATAGTATTTATTTTAGTTTTTATTTAGTTTGTTTAAAAGTCATCTAACATTTTGTTAACGGGGTATTGCAATTAATAGGTTAATAGCTAATTAATCATTCACTTCAATGTGTTTTCTTACACATTTTAACTTTAATCTTTGAGCTTTAATGTACTTAAAATATTTTAAAATATTTCCTCTGTGCTCTTCAATCGAATACTCACCCCATTTTGGGACCACCCTGTGTAAGATCGAACACCTGGCGCGGATTGAGCAGGTGCTGGAACTTGCCCAGCAGCTTGTGGCCCTGATTGCCGCCCGACTTTGGATTAATAAACACAATGACCGGGATTACCTCCGGCGACGGAATGGGCTTCACAATGAACGCCCGCGGCTCCTTCTTTTCCTCCTTGCCCTTCTGCCGTCGCTGCGTCTGCTTCTTGCTCTTTCCCCCACCGCCACCTCCTCCGCCCCCCGAGCCACTCGCCCCGCCTCCTGATCCCGAGGCGGCATTGTTCTTGTTGCTCACGCGTATCGAGGACTTGAAGTTGCCCTTGCTCGGCAGCTTCACAATCCACGAAGGCGGCACAATGATGGGCGCATAGTTGCCTGTAAAGAAAATAAACAGAGGGGGAGAAATGGAATGAGTGGGTTTTTAAGCACTGGCGGAAAAATATATAAGATATAACTATTTTTCAGTGGTTAAAATCCCAAAAGGATATTTAAAAATTAATTTATGCCAATAGAAGGGGGTCTTAAAATTTTAAAAAAATTCCCTAATTATTCATTAATTTAACATTCTTTTTTGTAGGTCGCAAGTTTCTGTTTTTTATTTCTCTGATCTCAAATCTGTCAACTTAACAACCTTTTTATTTGTATTTTTATAAAATAATAATATTTAACCACAATACTTGACCATTTTTAAATCTTTTTAACTATTTTTTTAATTTATCTATTTTTTAAAGAGGTTCTTTTAACTATCTATATAATCTCTTGCCCTTCGTCGAAGTGCCTAAATTGTTGGACAGGCTGGAAAAGCTAATTGTGTGTGGAAAGTAGAAAGTGCTTGGGAATATGGCCAAGCGAGTAAATTTAATTTGCCACCTTTGGGGGGGAAAATCAAAAAGGACCTTTTACTGTTATGCTGCGAAGTTGTGGCTGGAAGTTGTGAGTTAGGGAGCCAACATAACCGGCATACCAAAGAGCAATTATGAATGCCGCAACTTGGCCAGAGGACCAGAGAAAAGGGCAGACAAAGGAACTGCCATCCTCTCGTAGTCGTAATTCTATTTCGTACTGTCTTGTCCTCATCTCCGGTCATGTCACCCCCTCTTTATTCCCCTTTTCAACCCCCTCCATGGCCTTTTCCCGTTGCGTATACGTAATGGCAGAAGGATGGGAGTGTGTTAACAAGATGCTCATTGAGACACTTTATAAAAACGTGAACAGGAAGCGGTTAAGTCGCCCCAGCTGCCACATCATCATTGTCATAGTTGCACATAGTTGTCGGGGCAAGGAATTTCCTTTCCTTTCTTTTTTTTCATTCTTTATTCTTTTTATATAAACACCAGCAGAGGTACGTTGGCACGTTAGCATTTGCTGCAATTACATTAATTGAAAATAGTTTAGTCCCCTGGCCATTTGTGGGGGTTGTCGGTTGTCTGTGGCATAAGATGTTGCAAAATGCCATAAACTGGTGCCTTGCAATTCCAACTGGAATCTAAGGTAGCTGCAGCTTTTAATTCAATTGGGATTTGAGTTCTTAACTATTGGGTAAGCTGAAGTTTTGTTTGTTGAAGCTGAAGGCTTTAAAATATATTTATAATATTTTCTACCAATTTATTTATTTTATTATTCACTGGATTTAAAATATATTGATTAAATCTCTGTATATAAAATATGTTGAGAATATTTTCTCTGGTTAAGAGGCAACTAAAATTTCTATAAGTTCTTTTAAAAGGCTCCTATTGTGGCTTGAATTTTCGTAAATTTTAAATTCTTTAGACGGACTTTTTTATTTGTACTTTATTTTAAACAATGATTTAATTTTTTATACCGAAATAAAAAGGTTGTTTAGTGAGCACTACAGCACAATTTGTTTACCCACCAAATAAACAGAATGCGATACAAAATGGGACACAGAAATTCAGAAGTTCAAGGGGCCACGAAAGGGTTAAGGGTTTTTTGTTTTGTTTGGTTTGCTTTGGGTTCGGTTTTAATGCACAAATCTTAATTAAGTTAACGGACCGCAATTTATTTGCATGCACGTCACGTAATTAATCAAAGGAACATTGGCAGGGGCGGTGTCCCTTTCTAGGAAAATGGGGATTCACAAACTCACCCAGACGACACTCCTCGCCGATTTTGGACTGGTTAAAGCAGGCCTCCTTGTTGTGGTAGATCTCATGGCACCACGCACAGGCCAACGCCACAATTTCCTTCGACCCAAATAGCTTGCTTTGCACCGCCTGCTTCATAGGAAAGAACTAAAGGGATAAGTGCATAACATGTAATAATATAATGATATCCTAGTTCCAGAATCACTCTATATGTGTATTTGTCACACGGAAAAAAACAATTAAGGCAGATTAAACGGATGCTTGCTAAAAGAATTTAAAGTTTATTAAGTTTATAAAAATCAATTTTCAGAATTAGTTGTAATAGAAATATAAATATGAAAAAATCATTAAAAAATAAAAAAAAAACACTCTTATTTACTTTGATCGAATCATTGCATTACAAAGTGACAAATAAAATATATTTATTAATGATTTCAAAGTCTTGATTTCTGGAAGAGTCTACTCTATTTTGCATTCTCAGTATTTTTTGGCTCTAAAACAAAATTTATGAAATTTTTGAAAGCATTTTTTAGGTTGCTTAAAATTTTGGCATTAAAGAAAAGAATATGAAAATAATTTAAATCTATCCATTACTGATTTTAAATTTTGTAAATATTGTAAACAAAATTGAAGTACTTGAAGAACACAATTAAGATAAGGAAAACATAGTAATGACGTGTGTGTGCATCGTGTGAGGTGGTCCACCTACCTTGCCGCACTGCTTGCACTTGCCCTTCTCCAGCTTGCGGTGCACCCAATGGTGGTGGGTGGTTGTCTGCTCCCGGTACTGCCGGATGCCCACATCCCGGTAGGTCGGCTTGCAGGCCAGCGTGCTCTTCTCGTTCACAAACGGAATGCAGTTGTGGTGCGCGACCAGCTGGCAGGCGGAGCACTTCATCCGCTGACCGCTTTTCTGAAATCGCACGGAAATGTGAGATATTTTTAACGGGTACTATTTACCACAACAATCCTTTTAATTCCTTATAATTCCTAGATTATTCTATGGTGTAAATAAAACTTGGAAAATATTTCTGGGAATTTTGGGGGAATTTATATTGATATATTCACCATGAAGTTTAAGATTTACTACTTGTCACTTCAATTTAAATCCTAAAATCTTTTTTCCATTCACAAAAACTATCACTATAAAACCTCTTCTTTAATTCCTTTTAATTCCTAGATTATTCTAGGGTGTAAATAAAACTTGTAAATTATTTCTGGGAATTACAAAAATTTACAAAAAAGATCACTACAATCCCACTTTTAAATTCTTTATACAAAAAACTATTGTACAATTTTTCTGGAAATTTCTGTGGAATATATATATAGCAATATATTCTACATGTAATTAATTATTTTGTTTTGCCCCCACCCTTTTCTTTACGCTAATTAGCAAACTCCTGCATTTGCGCCGAAACCGCATTCAAATGACGGAGCGCTGCAACTGCCGTTTGCATTCTCGCAAAAGCAAACTTTGACAATTAATTGCTGAGGTTTCTGCGGTTTGACAGGTGAAAACGGATTCGCGCCGAGGATTCGCAAAAACAGCCTCAGGTGTCTCAGGAGTTGTTTTCCCTGGAAAACTAAAGAAAAGCCTTGTGCAGCAGCCAATGTTGTTCTAGTTGGCTTCACTTTCCGAATCTGTTTTTGTTTAATTGTTCTTCTCCTCGAAACTTTGACTGAGATTAGTTTGCTTTTGGCCTTGAGCAGGCTATTTTTTGGGATTTTGGATAAAGGGTTTTCAGGAGAAAAAAAGGGGAGACTTTTTTGTTATTTTTAAACAAAGTAAAATTATTTTGGATTTTTAGAAAAAAAAGAAGAGTATTTATACCCGTTACTCGTAGAGTAAAAGGGTATACTAGATTCGTGCAAAAGTATGTAACAGCTAGAAGGAAGCGTTTCCGACCCCATAAAGTATATATATTATTGATCAGGATCACTAGCCGAGTCGATCTAGCCATGTCCGTCTGTCCGTCTGTCCGTCTGTCTGTCCGTCTGTCTGTCTGTCTGTCTGTCTGTCTGTCTGTCTGTCTGTCTGTATGAACGCTGAGATCTCAGAAACTACAAAAGCTAGAAGGTTGAGATTTCCCACACATATTCTTTGGCTTCCTACGCAGCGCAAGTTTATTTTAGCCGAGCGCCACGCCCCCTCTAACGCCCACAATCGCCCACTAACGATTTTAAAATGGGTCCTGCGCCCACATCTTTAAAGATTTCCGAGAAGTATAAATGCAATTTTGTTGTGTATATTTATACCTATCGAAATGTAGAAGACATTTTTCAAATCGGACCATTCATTAAAAAGTTATACGATTTATAAATTGTCAACATATATCTATCTCCCTCGCACTCCCTTTAGCTGAGTTACGATTATTAGTCGGGACACCAACCAGACACAGCGTTCGCACTCCCTTTAGCGGAGTGACGGGTATTAGATAGTCGGGACACCAACCCGACTATAGCGTTCTCTCTTGTTTTGTGTTATTTTTTGACAATTTAAAATTACAATTTAGATGCCAAATTTCTAGTTAGCTTAATAAATCAATATATTCCGACTTTTTACCTTAGCTCAACTTAATTTGCTGCACGATACAAATTGAGATAGGACAGGCAGGACTTTCCCCAGAAGCTGGTCAGCCCCAAATGACTTACAATACCCGCCTTCTATTCCCCTTCGATTGACAATGAGCCTGATAAAGTACATATATTGTTGCTTTTGGCAGGGGGCTACCAACCCCCCCCAATCCCCCTTTCTTTTTTTCCGCCTTTATTGCGTGAATGTTGGACAGACACGCAATAAATAAATTACGCTCACATGTAACCTGCTGCCCTTCACTTCTCGTTGGCGTTGTGTTAATTGAATTGAAGGAATGTGTGGGGTAGTGATATCCATGGAATTCGCACTATTCACACTCTGAGTAGTCAAGTATTCAGGGATATACTCACAATGCACTCCTCGTTCAGGCAGCAAAGATCGCCGGAGGCCGAGGTGGGCTTCCAGTAGTGCTCGCCCTGCACTGCATTCTCCGTCCAGTCGGGCACAATGCGAATGGGTCGCCGGGAATTGCTGGCCGAAGCGGTACGCCTGCTTGAAAAAGAAAAGGAATGCAAGGGTCAAAGGTTAGAAAGTATATCTTAATTGCTGGGAATAAATTTTAAAAATATATTTTAAAATGTCCTGGAAAATGTTTTAGAATTAAATACATTTTTTGGAAACTATTTACTTTTCCACTTCATTTCGAGCATAATTTTGTTAAAAGATTGCTCTTTTATGTTTGTAATATCTTAATTAACCGTCTAAATATGGTGAACCCATAAAGATATTTTTAAATTTTAATAAGCTTTATTAAGGTTCCCCTGCTTAATATTTGAAGGACTCACCTCTTCCGGCGCCACGCCCCCAGGGAGTCGAGTTTTCGCTGGCGGAAGGCCGACTTCCGCTGCATGCCGATTGAGGAGCGGCGAAAGCGTCGCACTCCGGCCCCCCCAACCGCCCCCGCAGCCCCTGCCACGCCCCCTGCCACAGCACCGCCCCCAACAGATCCAAAACTATCGCTGCGCTGAAGTCGACGTCTTGGCGTCGGCAGCAATGCCGATGTGTTGCTGCAGTCGCTGTTGCTGCTGCCGCTGCTACTGTTGCTGTTGCTGCTGCAGCAACTACTGATGCTGCTCCTGTGCAGTTTATGCTCCTCATCATCATCATCATCCACATCCACCTCGGTCTCCTCGTACTCGTCCTCCGTTTGAAACTCCTCGCGAACGGCGTGCAGCAATCGCTCCATTCCGAATATTGCTGCGGGGGTGTTGCTGCTGCTGCTGCAGTTGCTGCTGTTGATATTGTTGCAGATATTGCAATTACAGCTGCAATTCTCTCTGCCAACACTGTTGCTATAGTTGCAATCGCTGTTGTTGCTGCTGTTGCTGTTGATATCGTTGCAGATATTGCAATTGCCACTGGATTCTGCGATACTGTTGCTATTGCTATTGCTATTACTGCTAGCAGCACTATTTTGGCTGCTGCCTGGGATATTGTTGCAGTTATCGCTGTTGCAGTTGCAATCTCTGCTGCTGCTGCAATTGCAAGTGTTGCTAATGTTGCTGCTGCTGCTGTTATGATTACTGTTGCTGTTGCTGCTGCTGTTGTCGTAACCGTAGCTGCTGTTGTTGCTGCTGGCGTCACAGTTCAAATAAGATATGAACATGGTCTTTACAGTGACTTATTTTTCCACATCCGTTCCCTTTTTTACCTTGCTTTCTCGTTTCGCTTCTCTCACGTTTTACATTTCACTTCACTTCATTACACATTCGTAGCTCTGTGGTTTGTAGATTTTTTCCGTTTTTTTGGAACTGTTTTTTTTTTTGTATTTTCCGATTTTTTGCTCGCTTATTTGCATTCAGCTCCCAATCGCAGTCACAATTCCTATCCCCATTCGGTTGGCGATTTTTGTGACTCTGATTTTGATTCTGATTCCGAATCGGAATCTACTTCTGCTGCTGCTGTCCGTTTTCGTGTCCGCTGCGGCTGTCATTATGGCGCAAAAAGATTGCCCAGAGATTCTGTTTTGGGTTTGGCTTATTATTATACGATTTTATACCCTATTTTTTGCTCCTATTTATTTCGGGGCACTTTCCAACTGGGTTTTAGTTGGTTCACGCAAAAAGAAAATGGTACATTATAGGGAGATAATATGGGATATGTTCTTAAAGTGGTTAAAAAAAAGTTGCTTCTTATAAAGATTTTCTAAATAATATTATAAATTTTAGTTTTAAGAGGCATCTTTTAGCGCCTTCACTTAGAGTTCGTTGGCATCCCCATACTGATTCTTTAGAAAGAAGGACAATTATCTTCATAAAGGATATGATAAAGGACTTACTATTGCTTATATAAACATTTTCATAAATGTTTAAAATTTCTTATTAAATAACTATTATTATCATTTCCTTTATAAGGAAATTACTCTCGTTTCTATAAATATATTAAGAAATCTATTAACTTTGTCAGTTAACAGAGAGTGTAGAAAGTTCCCCAGGGTGGAAAAAAATGAGAACTTTGACCGGGAACCCTATTTGGATATACCCCTTCCCCGCAACCCGTTTGCTGTCTCGCTCTGGCGCACAGCAATTGCCATTATCCGTTGGTGTGCGTGTGTGTGCTTAATACATTTGTATACATTTTGTTTATGTGCATTGTAATTAAATTCTTATCAGATGGAAATACATACAGAAAATGTGACTCGTTTTTCTCGGTATTTTTTTTTTTTTTTTTTATTTTTTTTCCCCCTGATTGCGTACTACTCGTTTTAGATTTTATTGGCCTGGCAAATTGCAGGCTTGCAGATTTTCCATGTCAATTGTTTACGCGGCTTTCTCGCTAATATCCTTTTTGTGTGTGTTTTTTCCCCAATATATTGTACTAGCTCCTTTGGGAGCGTTTTAGGCGCGTTTTGTGTGCGTTTAGTGTGCTGTTTTTGACGCGCCACTCAAATTTTGGCATCCACGCTTGATTTACCGTTAAATGTAGCGTGTCGCAGCGCAATTTCCATCGACATTTTTCGGCTTTTCACTTTTTACTGGCTTTTGAAACTCTTTTTCCACCAAGAATTTAAAGTTTAAAATAATAAAATCATATAGTTTTTGTGGTTAATAAATTGTTTTTTTATAAAAAGTAACTATTGTATTTGCAAACTATTTTACGCCTGCAATTATGCCAGGAATTCAGAAAGAAAATGGGTAAAAGTGAGCGAAGAAAATGAGAAGGAAGGGAGAAATTGTGTGGGAGCTTTTTCAAAGTTGCAAAATTGAATTGCAAATCAATTTGCCGACTGCAGTCTTAATATATCACAATGGACGCAGGAAGATGGCAGGGGAAAATGCGGGAAAGTACGAGGGAGGGGGAAATCGACTTGAAATGGAAATCAATGATGTTGAGATGGCTTTGTGCTAATAGTTCATCAAATAACTTGGTGAAATCATTGGAAATTCCATTTCCATTTCGCTTGCCTTGTGAAGTGTCTGTTAAAGGTTCCGCAATTGAAACAATGGAATTGATTTAAAATTCGAAAATCCTGAAATTCAATGCTCAAGTGAAAAATAATAAATTTAAATAATAATTTAAAAATATTTATAACTACGCCACCTGTTTTTTAATATTAAACAATTCAAGAAATAATTTAAAATAAAGACCACAAAACTACGCTTTCTGGCCAAAAATCAATATGATTTAAATCAGAAAATGCGAAACCTTTTTGGCATTGCAATCTATGTGTTTAAACATTAAAATGCAATTATCTCTGCCAAACCCTTTGTCAAAACTTTTGATATGCCAAACAATTTCGCCCCGCTGTCGCTGTCGAGAGCCCCGAAAAAAGAGGCAATCATCCGTAATTAGAATCGTTTGATACCAAATATGATGAGTAACCACAGAAATAACGAGGGACCGAAAGCGAAAAGCTGAAAACTGAACACTGAAAACTGAAAGCCGAAAACACAGCCAAACCGAATAAAACGAAGCCAAGCAAGACGTAACAGAAACAGCAACCGAAACAGAAACAGAACTTGAAACGCAATTTCAATTCAAATGTGATTAATTTCGATGTCGACTGCCTTTGAAGAGGTCTGGACTTTTGCCGGCGAGAGAAGAAGGTGGAAAAGCAGATATATAAAGTGGGTGTGGGTGTGGATGTGGGTGTTTGGGGTGTGCGGGCGGAAAAGCGGGGAAATGCTCGGCTAATGAAAGGCAAACTGTCGTCAATGGCCCGGACTTGGAAATGGGATTGAGATTCCGAGGAGGTGAATCTCTCGTTCTCTCTCATTCGACAAAATCGATAAAAACCTTGAAATATCTTTACGTATTTCAATAATGACACTTTGCATTCGCCATTCACCAATCGCCACCCCCGCCGCCAACTTTTTTGGCTCTTTGACTTTGGCGTAATAAAAACGAAAATAAAACTGCAGAAATAAATAAATATTCAAAAGTGCTGAGGGGGCATCTCATCATCATCATCGAAAAACCTCATAAAAATATAATATATATATCTTAACCCTTGACGAAAGCTTTTGAAGCGCCATTAATAACTTCAAAGATAAATAGATCCTGCATAGGATCCTTCATACTGTCTGCAGGATACGCAAATATATACATCATCCATTCATTTGCACATTTAAGCCAATGCGAAATCCATTTGAGCTGGCCCCAAATGAAAAATTATCTGCACGTCCTGGCCATCTTCTTGGTTGCCATCGTCGTTTTGTGATTGCGATTAATGCCCGGGCATTCGAATTGAAAACGTGGCAACAACTTTCGAGCATCGCCCCCCGAAACCCCCGAAAAACTCGCATTTCAGGCCCCCAAAAATGGTTTTCTGGAGTGGCAGCTCCTGCTGCTGCTGCTCAACTGAACTGCGAAATGGCAACAACTCGAGAAAAGGATTTTAAGCTAATGAATATTAACAATGGCCGCTGCCACTTCGGGCTGCAGTCCAAGAAAAAAATGGTAGTTAAAAACAATATAGGTATATTTTCGAAAAATATTTATAAATTAAAGTAATATTTAGATTTAAGATATTGATTTTTTAATGAAACAATTGGTTTAAAAATGTCCTCAAAGTCCAGATTTTTAATTAAATTTATAAATTAAAATATTAATTATTTAGATTTATATTTAAGGCATACAAAGGTTTGAAAATTGTTATTATAGTCCTGAATTTGTTCTGGAGAATTTATAGTAATTGTATTGTTTTCATATCCTATTAATATTAATTCAAAAACGCATAACCAATTTCTTGCTGTGTAACCCAAGTGGAGAAGTAGATGCAACCGGCAAATGGTCAGAGATTGGGCACCAAAAAGAGATGCGAACTGAGGAGGGAGGATGAGTTTAGCAGAACTAAACGAGCCAGGGCTGCAAATGAAATTAATATTCTTAATTGGCATTAAGCGTTTGGCTTTGGCCTGCTGGCGAGGTGGTTTTTTGGGGGTGAGAGAAGAGGGCTCACTTGATAACGAGGCCAACAAGAAGGAGGCAAAACATTTCAATAGCCGAGCAACAGGACCTGCAAAATATGCATGGCAACGAAAGGAGAA